AAGTTTTGCACTCCTGAAGCAAAGGTCTTCAAAAGCTGTATTTATAGATTCCAAAGCTAACACATTCCCATAAAGGAGCTTAGAAAACACCCATGGTTGCAATAAAAGTTAATATAGCAGAAAAAAAAACACAAAATGAACACTTATTATTAAGCCATAATTAAACTTACTAGGACAAATCATTTGCACTGTAGGTCTCTGCAAAATATACTTTGTGATATTTAAGAAAATAAAGTACAAATTAAGCACATCATCATCACAGGCCAAACTTTCAAAAACGGTTTAGATTTTTTGCATATACTCAAGGCTTTCATTCAAAGGTTCTGACCACCCAATACTACCACTTTCCTGCAACTGACCCCTGATAACCTGAGAGCTGTGAAATCAGGCCAATATTATAGAACCAAAAACCTAAGGCAGCTAATAGGATGAAGAAATCCAAACCAAAATGGCTAGCTGCCATTTCACAAAATGAGACAGCATCAGCACATCAGAGATGCAAACTCTATGAATATAATTTTAAAATCAGTGTATTTGTTCTGACAGCATACATATATTTTATCTACAATGCCATACAATTCTAGCAACTACTGTTGTCATTTTAGATTTCTTGCACTGGCCAAGTTCAATATCAAATTAACTACCCATCTTTCCACTCCGGTTCTTTTTACTCCCAATCTTTATGAAGAAAGATTTATGGAATTTTTAGGATTTTCACCTTTTATCCTTCTTTTTAGACTAATGAACTAATTAAGCCCGTTTTTTTCCTTTTGCAACCAAATGTAGCACAAGTAATTTTGGGCTGAAGTAAGAGAATCAGATTCCAATTACATACGAAAATGACATCTGCATAGTAGATAGGCTTCACAAATTTTCTGAAAAGCACTAAGATAATAAAAGCGTGTGCACTTTTTCCTCTAAACATTTGAAGAACAGAGATCATCTACATCTGTAACAGTGTTGAAAGACACAGGTATAAAAATTATATTCTCATGACTATCTTGACATGAAGCTGAACTAACAAAAATATGCATTCCAAATCTGTATTTTAAAAGCACTGATTGATAGTTTATTTTCACAAATTTGGGGGTTGCCATTGCACACTACTGTTTTATACTATTCAGGATTTAACATAACAGTCACTAAAAACAGCACCCTCTGGAAAACTCTATTCATACTGCAGAATATTTTCTGAATACTCACATTATAATATTTTCGTATGTGTCTTCTAATATCCAACAGTAATTTATTGTTCATTTGAACCACATAGTTGAAAGGAGGCTCCTCACATTCGCTCTTGCTGCACCTTTGCAAGCTGGGTTCCATAAAACGCCCCTGAAAACAGAAGTTTAGAAACAGTTTATTGTGACAGCAGATGATGGTAGCTAATTTGCCACAGACATTTGTTTCACCTAGGCATAGAACACAAACTAAAAAATATATACTTTAATATATTATAATTAAATCTCTAAAATCTGGGCCTTCTTTCTTCCCGTCGAAGCTGGCCACACATCCATAGAGGTTTCTCTCAAACAACATACAGTGTTTCCATTTTTGCTTATTGAAAGGTCTTCTGGAAAACGTGCTTCTTCATCTGCCAAAAATATACATTCAGCAAATGATGTTGAATGCAAGACTAACCTGGATAGACAAGTACCCCACCATCAAACAACACAACACTGGTGTATTGTTTTATCCAGGACCCAGAAGTTTTGACCAAGACGACTGATCAGAACACTGAAATCGACCTTACAGGAATCATCAGTTAAGAAAACACCAACAGGGCTAATTACAGAAACCTCATTAAACAACAATGAGGTGATATTTTATTTTCCCAAGTACAGGAATAGCTCTTAAAGTTTACACCATCTCATTGACCCCAAGCCTTCAGAAAGTCTAAAATTAAAACTTCAGTTCCTAGAAGTAATGTGTGAACAGCTAAAATTATGGTGGTACAATTCTCACTAAAGTAATGCCTTGTTAGGTTGGATGTTTATAAAAATTTTACAAAATTTTCTCTCTAGCTAAAGCTTAACATCTAAGTTCATTTGTGCTGCTTTGCCTTAGCCACATTAAAAGTTCCAGGTGGAAGAAGTTTTTCTTTTCTTTTCTTCTCTTTAACATCTTACATCCTTACAGCTAGCCCATCTGCATTTTGTCAAACTTCCATGCAATTAACTATCTTATTTACAGCTGTAATGAACAAAAGTCAAGGATTTACAAAGTATTGCTCAAATTGCATCTGTCTTTTCCTCTTACTCGCTTCCAAAGACTGCTTTATTTTGATTCAAAAAAATGTGAAACATCTGCTGTTTGTCCAAATTAACTTAAAATAATTACTTTTAATTTAGATAAAAGATTTATTTGCTTTCATTTTCAAGGTTTTCACTACTCTGAAGCTTGCTAATTTGCCAATGACTAATGCATGCATAACATCGCTGTAGAGTTAAATACTTGGCCTTATTTCAAGTTGTGATCCAAGGTCAGAGATACATTTTTTGGCAGAACTTCCCAACAAGAATGTAACCCTATGACTTTTTATGTTCGATATACAAAGACAGAAGGAAAGATAATGCAGAAAATCTTTCTGTCAAGAATAGAGGAGGGATATAAAAAGATAAACACAAATTCTCAAAACACTCTGTTCCAATTAATATGATTTAGGATAAGCAACTGCCATTGCTATAAGGTTTTATTAAACAGAGAACTGCAAGTTATGAAGGTGTTAAGATAAAGATTCCTTAAAAGTTACAGTAACAATCATTCACAAGTGTGGGCAAACAGATTAATGAAGCAAATAGATTAAGCTCGCATGTTCTAGACTACAATGTTCCCAGCTGAAATGCAAAAAATGGGATAAACATTTCAGCAGTGTCCTATCAGCAATTTTCTGCTCCAAGTAGCTCGACTCCAACAATATGGCATCTTCTCCTACACCATATGAAGCCTAACTAAAAAGCTCTTTTTTTTTCCTGCAAGTATTCTTCCCCTTCACCAAAGAACGGAAATGAAACATAAGAGAAACTAACCGAGCCATCAAAGACATTGTCATAAATATTCTCTGTTCCGCATTTGGGGCAGCAGAACTTGAATCTCTCACAATCCCTGTATTTCTCCTCATCAGTGAGCTGAGCTGGGCCACCAAGCAAGGCATCATTCTCCTCATCTTTTTGGCAATGGTGCTGGACTCTGAACTGCGAGGGATCCAGTCCTATTAATAAGGAATAAAAAATTCAAACACTGAGAGGTCAACCATACAAGTAGGGTTACTTTTTATAGGTTTGGTAAAGCAAATACAAAATTTACAAAAATTAAATTCAGAAGCAAAAAAAAAAAAAATCCATCTTTAGGGGGAAAAAAAAAAACCCAAAACCACATAAAACATAAAGACATATTACAATTTTTAACTACAAATGAAAGTTCATGAAACACAAAGAAATCATCTGCTTATCTTCTTATGCAAGATTGCTTTATAAATAAAACAAGCACATTGCATTATCATGGGACTATCCGGCAGAACATTTTGTTTCTGAGGAAAGCACTGCTAACGGATGGCTTTATTGTTATTTCCTTCTTAAGTTTCATTGAAAATATTTCAATAAAAATGTGCATCATTATTAAGAAACAGTCTTTAAAGCAAAATGGCACCATTAAAACTGCAAACAGAGAATAAAAACCCCATTAAAGAAACGCGGGTGCACTGCTATTACCAACTCCTTTAAGTCCGTCTACAACTGCCAACTCTGATTTCAATGCAGTGGTCGATTTCATTTTGGCTCAGTGGTTAACAGCATGCAGGTTTCAATCTAATGCAGTGGTTAAAATTCAGCAGCAGCAACATTTAAAACGACAGCGCTGGAGACAAACTGCTTTATTTCTCATTGCCAGAACACAAGAATTTAAACAAATAAATATACAAAAGCCCTTCTAAAAATACCGATTTAACCGCAAATAAATAAATAGGCAAGCAAGCACCAAGTTCATTGCTCTAGGAACAAGGCTGCCAAAGTAAACTAAGGAAAAAATCCTCATTTTTGGTCATCCTCTTAAAAGTCCATTCATTCCATCTATAACTTTTACATTTTAGAATAGTAGTAACAATAGAAGAAACAATCTAGTGAGCATATATGGAAGAATGCTTAGGAAACTATAGCTTACATCACTCAATACAAAAAAGGAAACACTCTGAGAAAAAAAAAATAACATAAGGCTAATTAAGCCAAGTAAAAGATTGCTATGTATTATCCTACATCACGTGTAAACTTTAACAACAAGTATAACAATCACTACAGGAAAAAATAGAAAAAAAAATAGGAAATGCAGCAAGATGTTAAAATCCTTCTTAGCCTTACCATACAGTACCAAAACACCTAAAGAAAAACCCTGGGAAAAATCTTCACAGAAAAGGTTAGAAACTTGTGATTTTATTATTACTATTCTGAATTGTTGTTTACAAACGCAAAATAAAATACAATCAAGGAAGACACAGAAAGACTTCAACTGCCAAAAAAGTGCAACTTGTCTCTGATAAAATTGAATTTTCACTAAAAATGTAATTCTTTCCAATTTTAATTTTGGCAAAAGAAAAAAAAAAGGCAGAAAAGGCAGTGCATAAGGGTGATATTGAATCTCTGAGATTCTCTAACTTTTAAAACAGTTTTACTCTATTCATAGCCAGCAAAGGAAAAAAAAATCTTTGGTTGTGGGGTGAGGAGATGGGAGTGGAAGGGAAAAAATAGTTGATAATGTAGCTGCTCCTTTAAAAAACCAGTAAGATATTCTGCAACAAATATACAGAAGATACAAGTTTTAGGAAGGGGACTTGACTGTTGTTTCATATCAAGATTTTGAACATGAGAAAGATCAAGAATCAGCTGAAAGATACAGTGGGTTGGATCTAAAACACTAATGGTAAACACAATTATTCTCACTTCGGTGCAATTTCAGAAGTGGATTAAAAGACAGAACTATCACTGCTACTTTATTACACAGATCTTATCCAATGGTCAGTCAGAATTTTATCTCGTTTCCCAAAACCTAACAGAGCAAAATATTTCACTAAACAAAATATAAAGCAGATATATTTTGTCTTTCAGTCCACTGTAGCTTCCCACTAACCAGTCAAAAAGAGTGAGACGAAAAAAGCACATGGACAATTCGTAATAATTTAACATGAAAAAGTTTTCTTTACTAGGATCCAAGCATTTCAGAACTTTCTTAGCTTTTTGGGCTGGAGAAAGAAACTTGAAAAATATTGTGATGATTCAAGTGTACACCTCACTTTTGGTATGCAAACAGGCCCCGGGAATTCAAAGGGACTGCAGCTCAGGCCTCTAAAGCACATGCCTACCTTAATTATCCGGGGGAATCGGGACCTGCTTTAGCTATTATGTCCTTTCAGGGATAGTTAGTTGGTTCAGTTAACCCATTTCAGCACACCAACTTTATCCTCTTGCAACAGGTCATGCTGGGCACACTGCCCTGCTCGGTGAGCAAAACAGGGGCTATCTAAAGGTTGGAGATAAAAATATACCTTTTGTAAATTTTTAAAAATGAATAGAAGGAGACTTTAAGTTAATTTTCTGGACTCTTTATTTTTTTACATGACATGGAGAAAAAAAAATCAAAGGGACTTTAGCTTACTCGAGCATAAAACACTTCTGGGACTATAATTAAATCATCTGCACACAGGCAGGCTTTCCAACCTCACAAAAACTGCAAAGTTGCCTGCAGGGCAAAGGAAAAAATATATCAAATATATCAATTAAAAAAAAATAACACAGATCAAGCTGGCATGATAGAAGCAATATATTTCACTGTTCGCAATATTTCCAAATTTAGGTTTCTGCCAATATTTTTTTCCCCCAGGATTCCCGCTTCCCTGCGCCGCAGGGAGCTGCGAGGAGCGAGCGAAGCGTCGCCACGCTCCAGCTCCGGCCTGCCCTCCCGCGCAGGCCGCCCGCGCTGCCCGCTCGCACGTCCCGCTGCCCCGAGCCGCCGAGGCTGAACCTTATCCAGGGGCGTCTTGGGAAACGCGCGCTGGGAATTCTCCTCCGCCTTGCCTGAAACAGACCCCGCTGTATTTCCAAGCTGGCTCGCTTCGAACGGGAGTCCTGGAAGGGCTTCGTAGGCCTGGTTAGGACTCCCGGTTAGGGGCCCACAGGCCCCACTGAACCGTGGGTGGTGAATTAAGTTAGGAAAGAGTTAATTAAGTTCATAAAGCGGCCAGGTCAATAACACTGAGATAAACGAACAGACAACTTAAATATTACCACATACAGACAAGACTGGTTCCTAATGCCAGTATTTTATTCAATGCAGAAATATCAGCAATGAAGAAAAACCTTGATACAGAGAGGCCAACTTGCTCTCAAAAAAATAATCCAGTCTCCAAACGTGGCATTAAAGCAACCCCTGCCCTGCTCACAAATCCTGACTGGGGCTGCGCTGCCCCTCACAGCAGAGACTCCTTCCCGGCCACACGAGCGCAGAGAAGCGCCCCCCGGCTCCCATCTCCTCACACCTCCCACCTTATCCAGGCGTTATCCGAGCGGGCAGGGCGCTGAGGAAGGGCTGCTCCTCAGAGCTCAGCACGGCCGAGGTCCAAACATGCCTAGAGCACCCCCAGCTACGGCTCCCCTCGCCCCCTGAGGCCCAGATAGATGGCAAACACCAAAATTCGTACACTTTGGTGTGTATGACTGCACTGCCATGGGCTCTCCCCCTTACTTATCTTCAGTTTTGTCACTCTGTTCTCGCCTCACTGCGTAACGTGACAGAATTAACAAAAGAACGCAAAGAAGCCTTAGATAACTCGCATGCTGTGAGGAGACCACAACTACTCCAGTTCCTCTAGAAAGAGTTAGCCTGGGTGGGTAGCTGCTACTATTAATGACACCAATTAAAATACTCTCTAAGGAAAAAAAATTCCCCCTGAAAAAAAGCGGTAACCTTCAGGTGGGCAGGCTTTCCTTACTAAGGGCATTGACAGAAGCCCACTGGCAGGGCTGGAAGTGCTCCTATTGACATGGCTGAGCAGGAAGCAGGACTTACCAGGACGAGCTCCCAAACACTGGATGACCTTCCTAAGAAATGCCTAAACGTCAGACAATTTACAGAGCACCTACAGACGGCTCCCTAAAGCGGTATTATCTCTCTTTCCAGAGACATTGGCACAATCAAGGAGAAAACTCCTTTTCTGTGGCCAGCATTTTCTGCAATTTGGGGAGAAAGATGCGATACATAACAACTACAAAAATCCCAGGCTTAGATGACCCTGCCTCCATGGTGCTTGGGTATTTTTGAGAACACAGCGAAAAAAAGAAAGGAGGGGGGGGAGAAGGGAAGACAATAGACAGTAATATTTATATTGCACCACCACATCCCCCCAACCTCAGAGAAAGAAAAAAAACCCTCTCAAAATCTCAAAACCCTTACTTCTTTATATTAAGAGAAGAGTTTTGCAAGTACTTTTTTTTTTTTTTTAAAGTAGTTTCAGGATGAAGCAAGCAAGGCCTCCAAAAGTCTATCAGGTCTATTGACTGCACATCCTCCTATCAGAAACCTTGACAAGCCTCATCTTGTCAATGTATTTTTCCCCCTTAAGAACTTCAAGATAAAAGACAATGAATGAAAAATTACGCCTGTGAGGTTCTCATTTTTAGGAACAATGAATTTTCATCTCTCAAAGGTCAGGCAGACTTCCTACAAAGTCCAAAGACAAAAGACAATTTTCAGCTTGATTCTGTGGTGAACAAATGTGATACTTGAAGAGCTCTCTGCAATTTTTAGGTGCCGTTATTTGCTTTTGTTCTGGAGCGTCTAAAATAGATTAGTTAAAATAATTTACTTGGAGCATGGACAAGGAAAAAAATGCTTTTGCTTATCTTAATATAAACCAAGCTTCACTAAGCAGAACTCAATTTTATCTGCTTGGACTACTGAGGTGACATGGTAATGAAACGTTTACCTAATAAAGAGATTCTTTAAAATATGGATCTGACAGATTTCTTTCTACAACCATTCTGTATATCTAATCCTAAACAGACATACACTCCACATAACAAATCAGAGGAGGAAACTCTCAGCAAGGAAGCAACCATGTTTGAGTCCATCAATATGGTACTTCTCATACCCTTCAGAACAGAAGCTTTCTTCCGAACAGAAAACAAATCTCTTTTTAAGAGGACAGGAAAAACAACTGGGATTTGGCTGCATTACCTGATGAAAATATTAAGCAAAAAAAAAGCCCAACTAAAGCAAACAGAAAAATCGTTTTGTATTCTTCCTTTAAAGCAATGGGCTCAGACATCTTGTACACTTAGAGCTATTTTCAATTCCTTTGAGACAAATATACTTGATTACCTCTCCAATATTAAGAAAAAAAGTTATAAAAATCTGCAACTATTCATGTTCAACTCTGATTAAAAGGAGAAGAAAAGAATAGATAAAACAGTTTTTAAAAAAAGACCTGACTACTAGCAGACTTAATGTAAACATTCCCAAGAAAACAAAGGTAGAGAAGGAAGTAATATTTTCATAGCACAGCAAGGTCAAACTGAACATATTGCAGATCTCAGATTGTAATATATACATACAGCTTTCCAACTAACAATTGCATACTATTAATAAACTCTCAGCTGCATAATGCCATTAGAGAGCAAAAAGTAAATTTTCATCTTGAACACACTACCGTGCAAAAAAGCAGCACAGGCATTTGCCAACAGTGAATGCTACCAAGGGGCATACAGTTCTTAAGATCTGGGCACTTAATTTAGATGCCTATAGGGAGTTAGCCTTTCCTGAACACCTGGCCTGTTGTGAAAGAGGAATAACTCTGAATTCTAGCCTAAATCTACAAAACCAAATCTCTGCAAGAAATCAATTAGCTTCAGAAATCACAAGTCTTTTACCCAAACAAACTACAAGTTTACCTCTGTTTCAAACTGCTTTGTCTAAACCAAGAGTACTTGACTTTTTTGGCTTGATGAGCCTCATGGTGCTCTCTGGCATCAATGAGAGGTTGAATATTGATGCTGGGCCAAATAACCAGACTCACCTAGTCAGCCTGTGTGTGGAGGTGAGACTGACACCTCCTCCAAGTGCTGCTTCTTGGACATGCAGTGCAACATCCAGTGTCTCCCCGGAACAGCCTTGCAGAGATGCAATCCTGTCCGTGCTCATCCTCCCACAAAAATCAAAGCTCTCCTCCATTTATTTATTTTTTTTAAAAATCTCTAATGGAACTTTAATGGAAATCACCCTTCTTGAGAAGCAACAAGGGAGGACCTTTCATCTCCATGCATTAAATGCAAATCTGAACCCACCATGAGCTGAACCTTTGGCTCAGGTGGACCATTCTGCCAGGTCACACAGTGCCAGTTAAATGACCGCTTCTTGGGTCTTGGTCAACACCTGCACCCAAATGTTACTCTTCTTCCAACCATTCCAAAGTCTATGAACAAAAGCATTTCTGCAAGTCTGCACTGTGATGGACATGCACGTAACATCAAAGCAGGAGATTATTAAACTGATAAACTGACACCATGGAACTCTAAATATGTAATTTTCTTGTGGGAGAAAAAAGTCTTTTCAAGAACTCAGCAAGCAGCAGGCTTAACATTTTCCACGTTGTTAAGCCATGTTACTATCCCTGGGTCACACAGTTATAAGTGGTAAGGGACGCGATTTAGGATGCAAATCACAAAGTTTCTGCTCATCGAGAAGATCATGTCTGTACGTTTTCATGGAAAAAACAATGCTACACCAAATTACAGAAATAGCATAATATGTCCAGAGAAAGTTCCTGAATCTGAACCATTTAATATTTTTCGGCATGTATACCTCTTTCTAGAAAAGAAGCCTTAGGAATGGGAAAGACATAAAGGCACTAAGACTTGGGTAAGAAAATTTCCAAAGAGGAGCATTTCCACGCTCCTCACTTGAATAAATACTGGCTGAATCAAAACTGGCAAGTCTGCGGCCACTAGCACTAGTTATCTTCTTACAGGACTTCCTCTTTCTTTTTGCGGGGGAAGGAGTGGAAAGGAGGGAGGAAGGGGAGAAGAAAGAGGGTTGTTGGGGAGTGGGAACCACTTGCCTACCCCCTCTGGAGAAAAGAATACTCATTACTAGGGCTTTTATTTTTTTTTTTTTTAATATAGCAGGTCAATTCTAGAGATAAAAACTCTTTACACTGACCCACTACTAAAAATCTGCACCCTTTCATTATAAGTATGACTGTTTTCTCGCTGGGAAGATGCTAGAGCCTGCATGCTCCAGGACTACACGGTACTTCAGAACTTAAGAAAATCTGACATGCAAGAGTAATGTCATTTATGAACAGTATTTTTTTTTTTCAAATCCTGAATAAGGTTTATAACATCTTAATGAGCACCTTCTGAAAAGTGTTATTCTGCTATGTCATATAAACAAACTCACAATGCAAGCTGCTTTCTACTGACAGCATAACAAGTAATCCTTCATTCTAGGAGGACTGATTTTGGGAAACATTTTTGTTAAGAAACATGCATTAAAGCTTCTCACATCGTCTCTTGAAACTCTTTAAATAAACTGAATTTAGAATACTTACCTAACCACGTTGCAATAAGAACAGAGTCAATTCCCTCTATAGGCTCACATATTCTAGCAACTACTGGATGTATTTGCTGTGATAGATAGTACTGAGTATCAACAATAAGATTGTCTTGTTTTTGCAACTGTTCTGGAGCATATGCTCGCTGGCTGGCACTCAGATTTGATCCATCCTGAGAAAGGAGACACATAGAAAATAGTGTGAAAAAAGTAAAATCCACAGTAAGTCTATATACGAAGGATTATGGTTCAAGCATCACATATTATTTTAAGGCAAAGATGTTACACAATTACTTTTTCTTGGTTGATTTATTATACATCCAATACAAATCCAACAGTAGTAAAAATTTGCATTGCTGTTACTGGCATCAACTAGCAAGTTCAAGAATGTAAATCCAGCTTGTATTATTGCAGCCTACATGTGCAAATCAGTAAGAGTAGACAGAGTAAACAGTCCCATCTGTCAATTCTGAAATGCACAATGAAAACACATTGTAACTATCAGCCCAGCTAAAAATATGCAGAAGGCAGGCATTTTGTATTCATTTTGTATTAAACTAACATTATCATTTTATAAAACAAGCAAATTCCAAGTACTGGATATCAAAACTGGATCTGTTTTGCTAGGAAACCGATATTCTTAGATTCTATACAGAAACAAATGAGCAGTCAGAGAGGACTAGCAGTTATTGGCATGCAAATAAATGTCAGAGACAATATTATCAATTTGAAAGAGTGAAAATACTGAAAGAAACACTTGGTGACCTCACGAGGCAAAAGAGGAACACTACTCCTCGGCTCAGAGCCGATATCAAATCTTCACCACAAAGAGGAACATGAAGAGAAGTCAATTCGGGAAAGTGATATTTGAAATAAAAAATAGCACTGATGAAGGAATTACGTTTCAGCTCTAAACAGATTGCATTCTTCCAGAAAATATAATTCATTAAATCTCTAAAGTACCGTTCCCAGTCCATCACTACACAAGGAAATTTTATTTTCAATGCTTGCTAAAACTTTAAAGTAGTAACTTCGTAAGCATTCAGTGATAAAAGTAAATATTAACTGGGGAGTGGTTTGGGAGCAAGTATCAAATCAGCTTTTCCTCAAGTTCTTAAGTATAGTCTCTTTTTCCTCCCCCTTTTAAAATCAAAATAAAACTCACATGCTTTAGCATGTAACACCTTTATTCTTCAGTTAAGACAAGACACTGGCGTCAACAGGGTCAGCAACCATCGACTGAGGACCCATCACTAATAAAGACAGACAACATGCCATTGGTCCCTCCTACTCCTTTCACACAACTTAGTATTCAGAACAAAATTAATTTAGGACTATTCAGCTCAACCAGCTGCTTTGCAAAAATAATTGTAATGCGATTCCTTCAGCTTCCTTCTTTCAACAAGTCCATTCTTCTCTTGCATTGTGCTGCTGCGCAGTCATTCCCACCACCAGCTCCCTAAGTCTGGGCAGTTTCTTCACGCCAAACTTCAGAACTCCAGATTAATATAAAAGAAAATAATATACTTTCAGGTTTCAAAGATGAAGGAGATGAAACAGTGATCCATTGTAGATGTTACAAGTCTAACAGTTTGACATAAGCAGGGGTACATCTAATCCAAACTGCCATTATCTTTTATAGCAAATCCAAATTATGGGATGTATTTTTGAGATAACAATATATAAATTGCTCATGCCTGTATGTACTATCAAGTTGTGCATGCTTTCCAAAAATGTTTAAAATTTGAAAAGACGGTTACATCAAACACCCAAAACCCAAGCACCAGAGGTTTTGGAATATCCACCGCTTCTTCCTCCTGAGCATTCCCGCATCGCACGTGAGCCAGCAACGCAGCCATGTCCAGCCCACGTGTCACCTGCCTTCTTTTCCTCTCCTTTTGTCCTTTTAGAAGAAACTGCTGGGTATGAAGCAGATGGTCAAGCACACGGTAGGATGACCCGAGCACTGCCCTGATATCGAATGAAACTAAAAGGCTTCATGGTTTTTTCCCTATGACAACTGTATTTTCCAGGACCAGCAAAGTTTACCAACAGGCAGAGAAATTTGTAGGAGAAAATGTTGGCTCATTTATTGGAAAGCTTAATTTATTGGAAAGCAACCTCAGGATAATTCTACAACAGTTCCTGCAGAGCTTCCTCAGGTGACAGACCAGCTGAAAGAAAGCAAGCCAGCATGTCCTGATGAAAGGAATGACACTGCTGACAGAAAGAACTTGCCATCAAAAAAACAAACTCCAGACTCTCCCCAAGTTGTTTTGCATGCTTCTGAATGAGCATTCATCAACCAATGGTAGAAAATTTCCTGAGGAGATTATACTCCTTGAATTTAAACTTGTCTTGAGTTTATACTCAAGATCAGAGTAATGAACACGCCGTGGAGTAATGGCTGGAAAGAGAGACTTGTTAAATGATAGTGAGATATGCAACTTTGTGCTGAAAGTTTAACTTCATGTAGCCAAGGGGTGCTGCAATCCCTTTGTACTTACATGCAAGTGTGCTGCCTTCCTCCCTCTCAAGCACACTTCCAAAACACACTTATACCATGTTCATAACTGCATTTCTGAACTTCTAGCAGCTTAATTTCAGAGAGAAGCAACGGGACTAGATATCAGGCTCTTCCCCCAAGACTTGCAGAATGTGCCATGCAGTATTGCATTGAAGGGGAATCTTGCTGGGATTTGGGGGAAGAGGGAGAAGGAGCATCTAGGCAAGGGTCTAGCAACTAGAATTTTATTCTGAACCAGTTGATATTCCTGGGGTTTTCTGATTACATCTTTGGGGAAGAAAAACAATGTTGAATACTTACCTGCTGGCATATTAATTAGTAGTATGGAGTTGTAGCCAAAAACATTTCTCAAATGTACCAACAAGAAAGTTTCAGTAAAATTTAACTGTTGTAAATCCATATTTGACACTGATACAGTAGCATATGTACAAAACACATCCAATTTGTGTGAAAAGAAAACACTCAAAAATTGGCAATAGTGCAGAAAGATGGAAAATATGTCTTGATGCAAGAGGTACAAAGAAAAGCAGCCACTTTGCTGTTCCAGCTGTCACTCAGATGACATCATTTACCTAAGTTTCAAAAGCATTTACAGGATAAAAATCTGAAAACAGAGGGCTCCTCAAATTCTTCAGCCTAGCAGACAGACATACTGCTAGACTCAATGAGTAGGAATTGAAAATACGAATGCTGAGACTGGCAATAACAATGACAAATGCATAATCACAACGTAGCTTTCAAAGAATGACAGTTTCTTCATGACCAGAACTTTTTTCCCGTATAAATTAAGATCAGATGTTTTCTTTAAAAATAACTTCTGGTTCCGAAAAGAATTTAAATCAGGGAAATGTTATCAGCTACCGCACGGGAATGGTTATATAAACTCAGCTGATACCTTCTGACCCTGTGGAGCTGCATGAATTTAATACAGAAAGCAGGCTATTTTAAAATATAGCATAACATCACTGCAAAGATATGTCAAAATATTTTTAAGCAGTTGAGCTGCCTTTCTTTGCCATCTCTTAAAACAATAATAGTATTTAGCTATAAATAAACACATTTTTACCTGACAAATGATATATGAGACTGTATCCCCTGCCTTCACCTTTCGGCCTCCTTGAGAGTTTATCCACATGGCAACATGCACATGTGGCAGGCTTTTTTTGTCAGGATAATCCTGTGGATCTTTTGTCAATGCCTAAGAGATCAAAAGAGAAAACAAAAAAATAACTTAGAGAAAAGTATTTTACTCAAATGATGGACAACTTAGAACAGTAGAAGACAAGACTGCCTAGTAGCTGCCTTCAATCGTAATTATATTCGCAGTATGACAAAAATAACAAGCAGAGATTTTAATAAATGTATTTCCCAGACATTAAGACCTAGGTCACAGTCCTTATTCTTTAAATATTTTTATTAATAAAAGGAGAGGATGCAAGAGGCTGTAACAAAACACATGGAAGGCTGTAAGAGTTACAGATATATTGTAACTGTTTTAAAATGGAAATAAATTGTAGCTGGAAATAGCGTGCAAAATACAAAAACATGGCCGGAAATCATTGCACGAGTTCAGATCATAAAGTGGGTCTGAGTAACAAGTAGTTAAGTGTATTTAAAAAGCTGTGTTAAAAGGGGATACATCTGGATTAAAATATTTCTATATTTAGTATATCCCAGTATATTCTGTACACTGGGATTTCACACTAAATTCTTTCCAGTCATTAAAATGCTATTTTTAAATATTTATCATCATTCCAATTCTTAAAAACAACTTAAGCATTTAATAGTGAAATACATAATTTTATTATTTCCAATGTAGTAAAATGCAAGAATATTCAGTATGTAAAATGAAAGCTATTACATATGTATACTTTATTGAGATACTAAGCACTGTTAGAATATTTACACTCAGAACACTCTAAGAAATGGTTGACAAATTTTTAAATAAGCCACAAAAATCACTGATTACTCTAATATTAATAATGACAACTTGAAGATATTTCTTAACTGATTCATCAACGCAGTCTTAAAGAACAGTCTTAAAGGCTGGCCCACAATACGAAGGGACTTGGATGGAAAAAAAACCTTACGAAAAACCTATTTTATTAGAAGAGTGTAAGGGTCATATAGTATACACTTTCCTGATGAGACACTCCTAGCTAGCCAAATACAGGTTCCATTGAGGATTCATTAAAAATTAAGATGACCTTCCAGAGGAGAACAAAACAATTAACATACATGCAAATCATGTGTTTTTCTGAAAGAGAGATTCATTTTGTCTAATCAACCCTTTAGTCTCCCCACTGGCCCAACTACCACACAAATGCATCCCATCCAGATTCGGGACAACATTTTTGAACTTCTTTCAGTTTACAGAGCTCAAATGGTTGAAACTATATAGATCCACACCAGAATTATTTGCCACTTACCCACTCCTGATGCTTCATGTTTAAAAAGATTTAACCTGCAGTGAGTATACTTAGGAACTGGGCTGTTCCCAGATCATTGATAATAAAAGTTTCAAGAAAGCCGTGTAGAAACATCTTCAGACATTCAAGGAAATTGTGGATGATTAATTATCTTTTGTCCGAACTCAGTGCACAAATAAACAAAAAAACAGCACAACAACACACTTTAAATAAAGGACATTTTGCAAATAGCAAGGCTGGAAGAAGGGAATAAGCCCTTTACCTTATTTATTTCAAACTGATTTATTGGGATCTGGCCATTGATGACATTTTCTCCAATTTCTATCAGCCGCCTTTGAATATTTTCCACAATTACGTCTCGAGACTGGTCAGAAAGAATCTGACCAATGACATAGCTGTAAAGGAGAGTTCAGAAATACAAAAAGCTTAAAATATATAAAACAAAACCCTTTTGGTAAACACATTTGTGTCTTCTCCTGGGTATCTCTAGAAATTAAATAAAGAATCTGAGTATGGACACTAATCCAAAAGTTAAACAAATCTATCAAATATTTAATGTTGTGTTTAGCTTTTTTAACCAAAAATAAATGACTGCAAATAGTTCAAATACTAAACAATAACTTGAAACTGATTAAACCAACTGGTTTCTAATTTTTGCTCCATGTTACCGTTTCTATGTTATTATTCCACAGCAGGTATCTAAGATTTATGGGGGAAAGGGAGAGGAGGAGGAGGAGAATGTAAAGTTAAAGTAAGCAGAGCCTTGACTATTTCTGTAAAATGTGGTTAGAAGGTCTGCCAGCTGCAGAAGAGTTAGTCACTAAAGAACACTCTCAAACATTTGTATAGCTTTAATTACTAATACATTCCTAACTTGGAAAAATTTGCTTCTATTATGATGCATCTTTTCTTAGAAAATGCAAATCTTAAGAACAGTAAGCAAGAGCGTGGAGGATTACTGCAAATGTAAAGACGCATCCATTTCCAAATACTTTTGGACCACCGTTTATTTAAGCTAAGTTTTAAAGAGGCTGCATGTAACACAAAATCAGTCAGCCTCCAGATGACCACCTCTCCACTCACTCCATTTTTCTTTCACTAGTGCATTATCCCTATTGAAGTTTAGCATGAAAATGCTCTGCACACTGATAATTAATCACATGATCATCAAAGGAGCACACCATCCTGACAACGAAATATCAGGAGGGTCTCATGTGAACAACAGGGCATGAGGTCTTTGGGGAAGGGGTCTTTTTCTCTGCTCGTGCTCTCAGAAGCGCCCCCGATGCTGACCGGTCACGAGAGGGTGCTCAGGGCTGCCCAGGGGCTCCTGCACCCACCTCTGAGGAACAGGAACCTACGACTGTTTAAAACAGACACCCTGAGCAAAAAGGACACTCACTTTCCAGTTTCTTTTGCAAGATCACACCAATCTCTCCGGACTATGTCCAGCCCTTTCAGTTCTTGTTTAGTTACGTATTTCCCATCTCCAGTTGGTTCTACTGTCAGAGCAGCGTATTTCTTCTTCTTTAACAGTAGTAAGGACTTAAAGACTCCATCAATATCAATCTCCAGCAATTTATAGAGCTTGTTCACTTCACTTTTGATCTGTGAATGCAGAACATTAAAGACAAGCACAACACCTTAACAAATCTGGATACATTTAGCTTTCATCATGAAGGTTATCCTTCTGAAAATTAGAACAAGTAGCAATATGCACTGTGTGTTCACATATGTATTTTAGAGGTTTGGCAGATGACATTAACAGTGAAATCAAGTACAAAACAGCAAGTAGGAGCTACTTTTAAAGTTAAGGTTCTCCCATTGGCTTCTTAAGGATTTACAGTGTGGCATAAATATACATTTCCCCAAGAAAGTTAAGTACATAGGACAAACCCGGGACTGAACAGAAGCTTGCAGATCACTGACTCCTGCTCTTTTTATTGAGAGCTACTTCATCTAGCCTCTTACATCAACTGAGCAAGTCTCCCCCAACTTCAAGGCAAGGATCCACTGAGTAGGAAGAGATAAAAGGCAGTCACTTAGGCAGATACTGAAACTGCTTTTATAAAAAACGGGTGCTTGCAATTCTTTACAACGGCACCTTTTTTTCTCCTTAAGGGGCAGCGTGAGCTTTAAGTACAGACCAGAACCGTGTGTCTATGTCGGAAGGAAAAAAAGGTTCTATAGCCCAACTGCTCCAAGAGAAAGTTGCTATTTCTCTATGTATTACCCACATACAAAAGCTTGAAATGATAGTCAAAATATTACCTTAGTACAGTACCAGACGTAAACCTGCTACATCTTTTTTACTTTTATTCTAAAAACACAGAAATGTAACATTGCAAAACTGCATGTACATTAAACAGCAAACTTCCAGTTTACAAGTGTCCCACCTACCGACTATATTGAAAGTTTCCCACCTCCCTTTTTCTTTCTTCATACTTTTTTTTAAATGTTTCTTCCTCTGAACATTTTTTGATTCCTCAGCAGTTTACAAGTGTCCCACCTACCGACTTTTATTGAAAGTTTCCCATCTCCCTTTTTCTTTCTTCACACTTTTTTAAAAACGTTTCTTCCTCTGAACATCTTTTGATTCCTCAATGCTCCTCTTCCTGTCCTCTGTCATCGTGTGTTCCACTCTCCACTTTCTTTCCTCTAGCATTTTCTTTCCCTCTTGACTTTCATTAATCTCCTTATTCATTCTCACTCCTTCATTATTCCCAGTTCTCTTTCCACAGACTACCAAATATGAATTATCCTCTTCTTCCATTTCTAAGTTTTTCATATAAAATTCATCATCCATACACTGCACACCCTTACCAAGACAGGAGCATATTTCCAGCATAAAAACTCTCTCTTTTTGAGTGTAGCTTTGGGCTCACACTACCAGTTTTAACCAAAAAAATTTCCTTATGTGCATGCACTTCAGACTTCAATTTTCTCAGTTATCCTTTTGTTTTTCTTATTAGAGAAATCTGCACTTCTAATAATCTGGGTCTGTCCTTAGACTATTTTTAATCCCTTGCATATTTGTAAATTATGAGGGCAATACTATCTGCTAGGTTTATATTCAGTTCATAAAACCGAAATAGCCAAACAATCCCACTAAGCATTTTAGTTTGTTGAATGTTTACATTATACTAATGAAGAGCTTAAAAACAGCACCAGAACAGGACTGAACATATTGGGAAATTTGAATTAGAAAGTTGCATGGAAAGCGAGACACATACAAAATCGTGCGGAGTAATAACAAAAAGGGACACAGATATAAATATTGGGGGAAGGGAGACAATGTCAACTGGAAATCTATGAGACCAGACAATAGATGAGAAAATTCAGGCGGAAGATGACATAATTTCTCTCCTTCCACAAGCATTATAACACAGACCTGTAGGAAATCTTTAGGAAAAAAAGAAGAGATCCTTACCTTATTCCCTAACTTGAAGACCTCATCCAAATTGGTGCTATTTGTATTTATCATAATGGAATCTGTGTCTCCATAAATCACTTCAAGGTTCATCTAAATGAGACAAACTGCTTTTAAAAACAAAATCAAAATAATCTTTTTAAAGTCCCACCTCATTTCCAAAATTTAATCTAGAATTTCAGTGTTCATATATTATTACTTAAATTTTAAAAACTGAAAAAAATGTGAAACAGATTTTTACTGAAACATCTGTGTATTTCACTGAGACCTATCTGATTCAAAGAGAATAATGAAATGTAAAACATCGATACATTAAACACAACCTGTACTTGCATACACATTAACAATAGTTCAAATGTATACTACATGAAAGCTAGGAAATAAGTCTGTGGACAACTCTAGTCGACAAAAATAAAAGAATTGGAAATCTAACCATTAATAATTTTGGACTGCTGGAGCCCAAGAACTGCACTGACGCTCAAGACGACTGCTGGACATGTTCAGACTATTCTCAGAAGAAACACAGCCAACATGCTTGAAAGATAATGCTACAGTCAGTTATTCCATTGCAGTCATAATACGATGCTACTGCAAGGAAATCATTCTGCGTTTAATAAAAATAATAATGCCTAACAGTTTAGATCTAGATCTAGACTAGATCTTTAGAACTAGCAGATCTTATGGATCTATTGGAACTACTGACTAGCGAATACTGCAGTTGAGAATTCCACGGAAGTGCCCAGATTAGACAGTTGTTCTTTCACATTTTCTCATATTTTTAAAAGCAGCTTAATATCTCCATCTTCTCTCTCCTTTTCTTCTGCTTTAATTCCGTTTTCTGTGTTAGTCCTATCCTGGCCAGCAGCCCTTGCAGGGAGGCAGCTTTCCCTCCTCCAGAAGGATCTAGCTACTATGGCCCACAAGTGTTTCTGATCTCCTGATGCGCTATGAATAGTGACATCTAATAAGGAACACAAGTACCTCCTCGGTTCCTTCTCCCTGACTGCCACTTTGCTCTTCC